ATGTTAATACTTCAAAGTGAGAGAGGGCGCCTAAATATTTTCTACCAAAAAATAAGAACCCAATTTTTCTTTTGATGTAAATTTATGAAATCTACATAAACAATTTTAGGAAACTCATGGAAAAATCCTATATAAATATCAAAATTCTATAAAAATTTGATTTTAAGGTAGGAGGCATCCTAAGACTTTAGAGGATCCAAGATTCACTTAATTCTAAAATACAATTTGAAAGTTATGGTCAAAACATAATTTTTTTTTTTGACAATTTTTGCTTTAATCCCTCCTGCTGTACAAACCACGTCATGCAATATTGTTTAGGGATTGTATACAATGAGATCATTTACCTTTAGTACAAGGTAGTCACAATTATTTATAACCATTCGATGTGAAATTTGATAGCTTAGGTGTTTCACAAAATTCGAGAAAAATTCTTCTGATGTTTGAGTTTGGTGAATGGAATAAAGGTAACCACCCAATTTCACATCCAATGATCAATATTAATTGTCACCACCTTGTACTAAAAGTAAATGGTCTCATTCTATACTTTTCCTATTGTTTATGCATTGTGGATTGCATCACAAGCCCAAAAGCACCATGAAATGCCCTCGAGACATCCACAATTAAGTGCGAGACGAAATCCCCCACCCCCTAAAATTAAAACAAAAAATTAAGGCAAGGTTGAGTTATCTCAAGTTGTATGTACATAAAAAAATTTTAAAATCTAAAAATTGTACAAAGTATGAGTGTGTTCTATAGTGTTGTATAGATTATTTGTACATGATTTGGATGTTTTTGGCACATATTGGTGAGTGTTTTTTTGGCCATAACTCCCAGTTTTACATTATCATTTTTAAGATTTTTTATAACATGTTCCTAACTATAAATCTGGTTTTTAATCCATTTTTCATCTCGTTTTGAAATATATTTTGACTTTTTCATGTTACTTTTATTTTTATTTTAATCTAAAATACTATTTTATTTCTATATAATTTTTTAATTTTTCTAAGACATTTTGGCTACTCAGTCGAGTTCTCAACCGAGTAACTTACTTCGTCCAAGGGCTGGGTCCCTTCACCTTCTGGCACTGATACAGGCTAACAACCTTTAAATGCAGGATGCCTTACATGAGGTTAGAAATAATAAATGAAAAACTTTTATATGGGTTCGGAACTCCCATACTCATATAAATAATCTCTGTGTCTGGGGAACAATAGTTGTTTAATATCATATGGTTGGGAGCCAAGAGGAAATTAACCCAAAGTAATACACCTTAACCAATAATGATCATTGTTCTAGAACTTGACTCGGGCCCCCGATTGAACTTGTGGCCAGAGCCGAGTTACTCGGCTGAGTCCACTCGGACTCGGCTTGCAACTCCAAAATTGGCCAAAATTTGAAAAATAATTACAAAATATTATTTAACAATTAAAATGAGCAAAAATATAAAATAAATAATACAAATTAGAGTGTAATACTTATTACATTTTTAAATAATCTTAATAATTAATTTTTCCTTTACCTCAAAAAAAGGAAACCAAATTCCTTTGTTTAATATGAATTTTTCGAATTTTAAATCTGAAAGTACAAATTTTATGGTTTAAAAATATTTTATAACTAATTTCTAAAATTATATTTCTGAATTTTGTATCATTCTTGACTCATTTTACTGTTATTTTTAATAGGCTTTGAAATATAAAGAAAGAATGAAATTTACCATGAAATTTTCATGATTAAAGTTTATTGACAACTCAATTTCCTAATTTTAAAGAATATTTAAATATAAATGGTAATATTTTTATTTATAAAAAAATTAATCATTTAAAATACCTTATGACAGGTTATCAAATTTAAAGGTGCGGCTTTAAAGATGGGCTTTAAGGAGGACGGGACGCTACCGATATTCAAAATCTCTAACAAATAAATAAATATCTCTTCAGAAAAAAATCTCCAATAAATAAATAAATAATAGATCTCCATGCATTAAGGCCCTAAAACCGAAAAACAATTTGTATAGAGTTGAGGTTCAGATAAAGAAAATGTTTGCATTAGTCAGGGCAAGGATACCACCCTCTAGTAGGAAGGCAGTTTTTATAAGACTAAATACCCTCATGCATAAATTTTGAAATTTGAGATATTTTTATTTTTAAAAATTAAAAAATTAAGATAGTTTTTCTCTCTAAAAATTTTGAGATGGTTCCTATGTTTAAAATTGTTGAAATAGTTTCCCTATAGGACTTAAAATTTGATTTAGTTCTCTCTCTAAATTTTTTTAATAATTTTTCTCTCTAAAAATTATTTTCTCTATAAATAATTCAATTATTTTCAGATTGTTTCTCTATTTGAAATTTTTGAGAAACCTCTATCTAAAAGTTGAAGTTTGATATAGTTTCTTTCTCTAAAAGTTTTGAGATAGCTTCTCGCTCTAAAAATTATGAGATAATTCTCTATATAAAACTTGAAATTCCATACAATTTCTCTCTTGAAAATCATCCAAATTTAACATGCACCAACAAAACATGAATTAAATGAGAAGCCACGAATTATTGTCAACTTTTTCAAAAAAAAAAAGAAAAAAAAAAGCAAGAAGCCAATGATTAACAGGTGAGGAGAAGAATAAAGAACGTAAAGCTTACCTGGAGAGAACTGAGAAAAACCAAGGCACACGTGTTTCTCTCTCTAACTCTCTCGATCTAGTCAGATTTCTCTCACTCTAACTCTCCCTAAAAATGGTCAGGTCCGACTGAAAATGAAAGAGTGGATCTCCTAATTTATAAGCCGTTGTCTTAAGTTCTAAAGATGATAGAAGGTTCTAAAGACAATATAATAGGAAGAGTTAAAAAATTAAAATAGGATTTAAATTTTAGAAAAATAAAATAGGATTTAAATTTTAGAACATTAAAGACCCAAATAACCCGGGATTTGGGCATTACAATTTAACTAAACCCAATTAATCTGGGACTTTAGACACGGATATTTGTTTTTTATTTTGAGAAAGATTTGTACAACTTTTATTCCTCGTTTAAACTTCATATTGATACTTCAAAGTTCAAAGAGCGAGAGAGAGTAAGTATTGCCCATATAAAAATAAATAAATAAAGGAATCCAAATTTTCTTTTGATTGGAAATGTACAGGCTAATGAAAACTTTAAAATCTACTTAAATTTTTCTCTTTTGAAATTTATGGAATAATCTTTTATGAATATCAAAATTCATAAAATATTTTTTTGTGTTTTTATTTTCCATTAGAAAATAAGGAAAAAATAAAATTAAAAGAAAGGAAGCAACACAAAATAAAACTAAAATTAACTTTAAAAGGTCTAAATATGCTTAAAGGGCAAAAAAAAAAAAGATCTAAAATTAACTTTTTCTCCAGTGGTGGATAAGTGCCTTTTGCGGAAAAATCAATAAAAAATAAGGTGACGTGGTAACGAGATGAGAATCAAATTTCACACATTCTCAACAAAGAGACATGGCATCGTATAATTCATTAGGATTTGAAAAATATACAATCTTGATTTTCTTGAGTCCAATATCTATTAGGATATAACTAATCTTGTATAAACGCTGGATTTTCTTGATGCCCAGCGGTCATAAGATTTCCGCCTTCTCTCTTTAAACTTAATCTTGTATAAAATATCTTTATTGTACGTTTTTTTCTTGATTTTGCAACCTTCTTTCTCTCCTTTATTTGCTTACTCATCTTTCTCCCTCTGTTTCTCGAGTCTTTATTTCTCTCTCCACAGTCTTCATAACCTTCAGGAGAAAAGATCGTCTTCAATGGATGGTCCTTTCAACATAACAAGATTTTCGAGTTCGAGGAGGCCCTAACAGTCTCTTTCCTGATGATCGCAAAAAAAATAGCCCAAAAAATGGCTGGAAAAAGGCCGATGGATGTTTATATGCATTAGGAGGCTCTTCTGAAAGATTTAAAAGAAATAGATTCCGGCAAAGTGGAGCTTCTCTCGTATAGGGATGAGACTGAAAGTTCGCCTGAAAAAGTTTTCGGTGGTTCATGTGAAATATCGTTTGGGTCGAGAGTCGAGTCCATACCAGTTCTGGTCAGGTGTGAGACGGAGAGGAAAAAAGGGTCTTCTCGAGCACAGGTAAGTTTTACTCTACTCTCCTATTATTAAAAAAGTTTAGATTTACATCTTTTTTTTTTCTTTTCAAAGACATACTTCTTGTTAGATCTCCTCCTGTAAACTAGAGTTCTTGATTTTTCTAATTTTCCATAATTTTCTTTGTTTTACCTCTTTTTATCTAATTTTCTTGATATTTTTTTCAATTTTGTTTTACCACTTTTTATCTAATTTTGTTTATGTTTTTGTCAATTTTTTTATTTAGTATACCCCTTTGATTGGTGAACTGATCTGCTTCAACCAATCCAATTAGACCAATGTCCTCATTGGTTCGGTCACTTGTTCTACCCTAATAACACTAGTTCAAAAAAACTCATCTCGGCCAAGTTATTTGGCCGTTGGCCAAGGCGAGTAACTTGGCGAGTTTGAGTAGACTAAGTCACGTCACTTACAACAAAAAATAGGTTAAAATAATAATAATAAAAATATCTATTTATTCTCTATTTTTAACTTCTATATCTCATGAAATCCAAGAATTGAAAATATTATTGGTAAGCAAAAAGTCTATACAACCCTCTAAACCCCTTTGATCATAAATATTTTACCCAAACAAACATTAAAATGACACTCTATTGAAACTCCATCTCTCTATCTCTCTAAAACTCCATCTCTCTCTTCTTTTCTTGATGAGTTTACCAACCAAATCGTTTAGCTTGAGCTCGAACACGAGCACACCTTCTTAGAGAGAGATGGAGTTTTGAGAGAGAGACGATGGAATTTTAGAGAGAGAGATAGAGTCATTTCATAGGTTGTTGAGGTCAACAATATATAGTTTAGGGGGTTAAAAGATAGAAAAGATAGAGTCTTTTTGCTTACAAGTCATATTTTCAAATATTTTTAATTCTTGAGTCTGATAAGATTAAAAAGTTAAAAATAGGATATAATAGGATATTTTTCCAAAAAAAAATAGTAATTTTTAAAAATAGTTAGAAATAAGAAAAATAAAATAAGTAATAAATAGAAAGTATTGGAAGACAAAAATGATGAAAAATATCTAAAATATATAGTTCAATAGAAATTTGGATTTAAATTTTGAATATTTAAATAATATGAAAGTTCTCAAATCATATTAAAAACTACCAAAATCATCTAAAAACTTATATCTAATGTCCGCGTCTAAAGTCCCCAATTAAAAAATAAATGTCCGCGTCTAAAGTCCCCAATTAATTGGGTCTGGTTAAATTGTAAGGCCGAAATCCCGGTTTATTTGGGTCTTTAATTTTCTAAAATTTAAATCCTATTTTAATTTTCAAACATTTAAATCCTACTTTAATTTTGTAACTCTTCCTATTATATTGTCTTTAGAGCCTTCAATTATCTTTAGAACTGAGACAACGGCTTATAAATTAGGAGATCCGCTCCTTCATTTTCAGCGGACCTTTTGAGGGAGAATTGGAGAGAGAAAGAGAAACAAAACAGAGTAATTCGAAAGAGAGATACGTGTGCCCTGGTTTTTTTCAGTTCTCTTTAGGTAAGCTTGCAGCTATATCTTTAGATTCTTTTCTTCTTAATTCTCCGCTTCACCTGTTAATCATTGGCTACTTGTTTTTTTCTTTTTTCTTGAAAAAGTTGACAATAATTCTTTGCTTCTCATTTAATTCATGTTTTTGTTGGTGATTGTTAAATATGGATGATTTTCAAGAGAGAAATTGTATGAAATTTTAAGTTTTAGATGGAGAATTATCTCATAGTTTTTAGAGAGAGAAGCTATCTCAAAATTCAAATTTTAGATAGAGATTTTTAATAAATTTCAGAGAAAAAAACCATCTGAAAATTGAACTTTTTATTGACAAAAAAAATCTTTGGTGAGAAAAAATATTAATAAATATTTTAGAGAGAGAACTAAATCAAATTTTAAGTATTATAGAGAAACTATTTAAAACAATTTAGACACACAAACCTTCTCAAAAATTTTAGAATGAGAAACTATCACAATTTTTTAATTTTAAAAAATAGAGAATATCTAAAAGTTCAAAATTTATACATGAGGGTATTTACAGAGACAGAGTAGTTTTTTAAACAGAGCATTTCTTTAAAGATAGTTTCGAGCCACCTTGTAGTGCAAGAGGGAGCGCGTGATGGAAGCCTATGAGTTATGACAGAGAGATGAAAGAGAAACTCTTGCAGAGAGAGAGAGAGAGAGAGAGGGATGGTGGAAACTCCATTTGTATCATTACTGTTTAAAAAATTGAAAAGAAAACCAAAACCAAAACCAACTTCCCGATAATCACTACTCCTATAAATCTATTTCAAACAATTTCATTACTCAATTTAAATCTCTTTCATGCCACCTTCGACGGTCATGGCCTGACTAGGGTATATCAGTATTTTAAAACTCGGCTATTTTTTATCTAGATCATCGATTCAGATGGAAATAAGTAGGACCGAACAAGCCCATCTAGCCAGGACTGAACTAGTTCGGAGAGGATATATACTTTATACG